GAACTAAACATAGTAGGTCTACGTACAGATAGAACTAAATATAGTAGGTCTACTTACAGATAGAACTAAACATAGTAGGTCTACATACAGGTAGAACTAAATATAGTAGGTCTACGTACAGATAGAACTAAATATAGTAGGTCTACATACAGATATAACTAAACATAGAAGGTCTACGTACAGGTAGAACTAAACATAGTAGGTCTACGTACAGGTAGAACTAAATATAGTAGGTCTACGTACAGATAGAACTAAACATAGTAGGTCTACATACAGGTAGAACTAAATATAGTAGGTCTACGTACAGATAGAACTAAATATATTAGGTCTACATACAGATATAACTAAACATAGAAGGTCTACGTACAGGTAGAACTAAACATAGTAGGTCTACGTACAGATAGAACTAAATATAGTAGGTCTACTTACAGATAGAACTAAACATAGTAGGTCTACATACAGGTAGAACTAAACATAGAAGGTCTACGTACAGATAGAACTAAACATACAGGTAGAACTAAACATAGGTAGTAGGTCTACGTACAGATAGAACTAAACATACAGGTCTACATACAGGTACAGTACAGAACTAAACATAGGTCTACATACAGGTAGAACTAGGTCTACATACAGATAGAATAAACATAAGTCTACGTACAGATAGAACTAAACATAGTAGGTCTACATACAGATAGAACTAAACATAGTAGGTCTACATACAGATAGAACTAAACATAGTAGGTCTACGTACAGGTAGAACTAAACATAGTAGGTCTACGTACAGATAGAACTAAACATAGTAGGTCTACGTACAGATAGAACTAAACATAGTAGGTCTACGTACAGATAGAACTAAACATAGTAGGTCTACATACAGATATAACTAAACATAGTAGGTCTACGTACAGGTAGAACTAAACATAGTAGGTCTACATACAGGTAGAACTAAACATAGTAGGTATACATACAGATATAACTAAACAGTAGGTCTACGTACAGATAGAACTAAACATAGTAGGTCTACGTACAGATAGAACTAAACATAGTAGGTATACATACAGATATAACTAAACATAGTAGGTCTACGTACGGATAGAACTAAACATAGTAGGTATACATACAGGTAGAACTAAACATAATAGGTCTACGTACAGATAGAACTAAACATAGTAGGTCTACGTACAGATACTAAACATAGTAGGTCTACGTACAGGTAGAACTAAACATAGTAGGTCTACATACAGACAGAACTAAACATAGTAGGTCTACATACAGATAGAACTAAACATAGTAGGTCTACATACGGGTAGAACTAAACATAGTAGGTCTACATACAGGTAGAACTAAACATAGAAGGTCTACATACAGATAGAACTAAACATAGAAGGTCTACGTACAGGTAGAACTAAACATAATAGGTCTACGTACAGATACTAAACATAACAGGTCTACATACAGGTAGAACTAAACATAATAGGTCTACGTACAGATAGAACTAAACATAGTAGGTCTACATACAGGTAGAACTAAACATAGTAGGTCTACATACAGGTAGAACTAAACATAGAAGGTCTACATACAGATAGAACTAAACATAGAAGGTCTACGTACAGGTAGAACTAAACATAATAGGTCTACGTACAGATAGAACTAAACATAGTAGGTCAACATACAGATAGAACTAAACATAGTAGGTCTACGTACAGATAGAACTAAACATAGTAGGTCTACGTACAGGTAGAACTAAACATAGTAGGTCGACATACAGGTAGAACTTAGAGTATGAAAAGAACATGTATGATCAGAACTCATTCCAAAGCTTCAAATTATTGACATTGATTGTAGTGCATTAAATTTTCTAAATTATTTTTAAAGAAGAAGAGGATTATGTGTTTCTTGCTAAACTTGATATGGCGATATGAATAAATGATATTCAGAGTTCTTGACTATGGAATTCATCTGATATAAATATTTCATATACCGTTTTTACACAGTGCTTTCAATTGAGTAAAATCCGATATATTTTTGAGTATCATTAACCCAGTCTTGGAGTTTATGAAGGATCCCTTAGATTCCATCAGTTTCAGAGGGACATCTCTGGTAACATTACCCTGTTCAGTCTATGTAGATAAATCATATAAACGTTTGACAAACTGGCTGAAATATGGGGATAAACTGGTAGACGAGCAAAATGGTCGCAGGAAAAAAACAAGAAGCTGTATTAACAGTACTGTATTTCATATTATATAATTAACAACAATGTATTAAAACGGAAAACAGATGTAGGCTTGGTAGATATGAAAAAAGTCTGCAACAGTCTAAACAGAGAGCTTTCTCAGAGGAAAATTGAATAGTTTTGTAATAAATATAGCTCTTATAATCAATAAATGCCACCTTGTTAAAATGTTTTTTAAGAGTAACAATTCATGGTGAATTGGAACCCTTTTAAGTTTCCAATGAGTAAAAAAAGGATATAACATATCTCCTACAATATTTCTCTGAATATCAATGACTTAACACTTGATATATTTTAAATTCGTTTAAAGTATGATGCAACGATCAACGGAGAATCTGTTATCTCGATTCGTCTATAGGCTGATGATCAAGAACTTATTGTCCCTAGTGCGGAAGCAATGCAGGAGAAGCTGAGTACTTTGCATATTTGGTATGAAAAATGCCAGAAACTTTAACTTATTTCTTATAAAAATGGAATAAGTCAGTTATTCTCAATACATATGAATTTGCGACAAAGTTTGAATTATATTATATTATATTATATTATATTATATTATATTATATTATATTATATTATATTATGCTCGCTGTATGTGATTTTTGTAATTTGCATATATGCATTTTGATATTGAAAACCTCAATGTGTACGATAACATGTTCAGCCATTCTTTTGGATACCTTACCAGAGAGCTTAATAACATTAGCTTGGTCTCTACACAAACTTTCCACACTTCAGCGAAACAACTGTGTGATGCAGTTTAATTCAATGTTTGGCTGTACCCTAACTCTAAATTCATATCATAAGGTGCTATACACTCGTCGTATCTTTTGTACCGTCATATCCCATTTTCTTCTCAAGAAATTAAGTTTGTGCTGTGACTAATGCAGTATACCCTCAACTTTGATTTTTCTTACATTAAAACACACGTTCTGGAGTAATTCCTGTGTTAATCAGTAAAGACTCAAGATAAATGAGACTTTATTTAACGGCGTTTGTATCAAACAAAGAAAGCATTAGCACTGATTTTTTTTCGATAAACATTATTAAAAGCAACAAAACACAAAAAGCAGAAAGAAATTTGCATATTACAACATACAAATTATAACAGGCAGCTAACACATAAGACATGCAAGCCGTGAGTTAAGCATACAAATGCATACCAGCATGTCAAGGGCAATAATTAAAAACCAAATATACTCAAATATATATCTATAATTGTGGGCACCTGCATATTACGCAAGTGCTGCTATACGGAGAATTTAACCAATACAAACGCAGTATACATATATAAGCTAATATAGTAAATGAGTACAAATTGACATGATATGCACTCAAAAAATATAAATTGAAAGACAATGTCAATTAAGCTATGATATATTATGATATATTATAGAAACTATGCTGACAGTTATCAATACGTAAAGCGTCATGCAAAACAAAATTTGGGATAAGTTAGTTAAATTAATAAAATATACTATCGTCTTGACGTCGTTTCCAGACCGTTATGTATTTCGGGACGGGCATTTTGTCGAACCGCACTACTTGACCTGCGTGACCTTGACCAGGATAATTTTGGTTGCTGTAACATGTCACGTTTCAAACAAGGATTAAAAAACAGTGATTAAAACCACTCATCACAAATTATTTTGTGTTAATATTTCATTGGCAATTTTGTGTATTTTTTTTCTAAATACACATTTTCACATGTCAAACATAATCCCAGATATGATGATGCCAGTGTTTTGTTGTCGACTGAAAAAGTAACTTTCTTTAAATAGTTTGTGTGTTATAAGAGATAAGTTTACCGGGAAATATGGTTCATTAGAGAAAAAAAAACAACCAAAAATAAAAACTTGAATCTATATAAATCTCCATAAAAAGGTGCTCATATCAAGACAGATATACACCATTTTCGCACCTTTATTTATTTATTTTTTTCTGTCATCAGAATGTCATTTCCGTTAAAACGGTGCTATTTTGTAATACATGTGTACTTCTGGGTCACTCTGAGCTATCTTAAGCATCTCTGTAATTTAGTGATGTCATTAGAAACGGAAGTGCAGTCACATGTCCGATACTCATGTCGATCATTTCAGATGAGCGAATTTGAGGTCCGTGGATATTTTTTAAGAAAAATACTGGTGTTGCACTGATTAACTTGTTCAAAATAAAATGTATAATATTCACATATTTAAAATAATTTATGTATTGGTTTAGTGGCAATTCGTTGACATAGCGTAACTAGCGTTGAAATGGTTCTAAAGGGTTCAGAAACGAATGCGCCAAGTATAAATAAAGCAAAAGAAACAGGTAAAAAGTAATAAAGGACTGAAGGGCTGAAAAATACCGGAGGTCTGAACTCAGATATAGCAAGAACATACGAGGTCATTCAGGTATGCCGTGGTCTGACAAAGGTTGGACAGACTGTTCTACATATAAATTATACCATATATATTTAATTAAAGCATAAAATATAACGACAAAGGAAAAATAAATGTGCAGTCTCTAGAGTACGAGGTAATATTTATCGTTGTTCAGAAACTTTTATGTCTAGGTATTGATTTCTTATAAAACTTCCTTTTCTCTAGAACAATATATAATGAAAATAAAGTATCAATGCTTTTTTTAATTAGTAACGGGTTGTTTAATTAGATTGAGTTACTTCCCTTTAGTCTTAGTCCAAGAACGACAACTATGGACTCGGCAACCTTTGTTGTTAAATAATTTGTCATTGGCACCGATCGATCGAAAGACGTTATTGTATGTTAAAACGATTTATTAACATGATGTTTGTTTCCCAACACAACCTCTAATTTATCTTTAACAAGATCACGTGATGTGCAGTTGCAGAATTCCGCCAAAATTGACTGATATAGCGCGAAAAACGAAGGAGATCCGCTTCGTGCAGACTGCAAGGTAAGCCACGTGTTTATTAGTTGTTTTCCTATTCGAATCTAGGCTAGCTACAGAATGTGTAATAAGCATGTGCAGATTTATGTTTTCACGATTGTTTGTTTGTTTCATATGGAACATGGACTTGTTATTTGATAACAGTATAATGTCGATGCATTGTTTGGTAAACAAACAATTCGCCAAATAAGTCCAGTGTAATGAAATATGTCGACGATATCAATGTATTTGTATCAGATGTTTCCATATAACTTTTTATTTAACCGTTATAGGGACAATGAGCTGTAACGGGAATCGACTGATAGGTGTTCGGGGTTTGTTGTGTGTTATGTAACAAGTAACAAGGCTCCGTCTCGTTTAAGCCGAAGTCCCGCTCGAATTTCCATTCACTGTTTGGTAATTATAGAACGAAGGCCTTGGCTATTAACGGAGATACACGAGACATGGTGAACTTCTTGAATTTTTGTGTAGATACATATTTACCTGTTTTAATGAGAAAATAGAAATGTGCTACTTAAGAAAATGTAACTGGAAAATGATGATGCAAGAGTAAAAAAAATTCACGAATGATTTTCAGGGCAAATAAGAAATCGAACAAAACACATTTTAATTTCAGCTGAATGTAGATGTCATATATAATATGTATGTCCCACAAACGAAGTTGTTTTTACTTCCAGTTTGCTGCACTGGCTAAATTTTAACATTTTTATCAAAAACTATGGGATAGAATTTTACAAAACATTGCATGAGTGTTTATGTATGTGAGACAATGTGCGAAAGCTTTATTTGTTTTTCATTTGGTCATCTGGCTGGTCAGTATGACCTCTGATTGGTAAGAATTTAGCCGAAATTTAGCCTATTTCAATGAAAATTGTTATGTATGTGTGGTTTCACACCAGAAAAACAATTTTGACATTTTGTTTTCTGATTGGACAAGATGGACACATCATAATTTATCTTCTTATTTCTTGAAATTTAGATTTGTGTACAGATATTGTCTGACATCAGGAACACAATGATGGAGTCCGTTTTCAGATTTAACAAAATGGTATCAGAGGTGATTTTCTGATTGGTTGAAATTTACATATTGTCTGATTTTTATGAAGAAAAGGTACATATATACATAGGTGTTGTCTGACTGTGGTTGTTTGGGGGACCTAATTAACGGTCCCAGTTACAAAAATCACTTGTAAACATAAACTTTTGCATCATGTACTACACATGTATGCAGATTCCACATACAGGATTTCGATAGGCCAATGTATGGTGAGGTTTTTTTTTTAATGTTCAACAGCTTGTCCGTGGTTATACAAAAGAATAAACTTGTACTTGAAAGTATTAATTAGTAGAAGATTGGAGTGTGACATTTCTATGACTACAGTACACTTCCACCTTTATCAGACAAATATCCCCTGTAGAGCATACCAGGGCTGTGGTACAAAATATATAGGATGGTAAGAGATCAACCTATTTTTAGGCTGTACTATAACCCTTTGTGACAAAGGTAAAAAATAGTGTGATGAGCTGGTAATCTGGTTAAAGAAAAAAAATCCCACAAGATGGTTAAAAATGTACTTTATATTTCATTCGGCTATGCTTTGTTTTTAAAACACTTGGTCGCACATCACACTCAAATCTTCTACTGATTGTGTTATCAGAACATTCATTCTATGAATTCATATTTTAAAAAAATCTTTCCTCTGACCCAATCAACCCTAAAATTTTGAACTTGCCCACAGCTGGTTGTCAAGTTTTCCCAATGCAGGGAAGGACAATGATATATGGGTCCCTTATCTTAAGTAAAAATTACTGGTATACAGTATAGAAAATGAATGGTCACTAAAAATTAAAATAAAAATAGAAAGGAAGTCACATGTCACATCCTCGCTGATTAAGTCGCCATTTCATAGCTGAATTTGGACAAGTAAATTTCCAATCCAGACAAGTAAATTTTTCAGCCCACTAGTCCTGTGCCTAGTGGTTTAAAATATTTTTCCACACCCCTGATCTAAGTGTTGTAAAGGCAGTGGAAGGCCTATTCGATATGAAGGTATTGGAAAAAACTTGAAGCTTAAAATAAGCCAGAATCCAGGTGATCAGGAAAGCTTTACACTTTGAGGCCCTACTAAGCATAAGGCAAATGGAAGACGGTCATTTCAAAGCTTCCTTTCGGTGGTTTACAAAGTTGAAAAAAAAGTCGCAACATTTCATTCAGGCAATCTACCCATGTCACACAACATACCATTTCCCTAACTGACATTCTCGTTGACAGTTTTTAAAATTTTGTACTCCGGACGCGGCAGCTGCGAGAGTATCCTGATAGGTTTATGACAAATATGGACAAAACATCGGTGTGGTTCGACATGCCAGGTCAATCAACAATAGCATTAAAGGGGGACAAAGAAGTCCATGTTTATAGCACAGGGCAAGACAAACAAAAAAGTACAGTGACACTAACAGCTTATGCTGACAGCACAAAAATGGCCCCTCTTGTACACTTGCCTGGAATTCGTCTCCTACAGAAATGCAACATCCTGAGTGGTATTGTAGTATGTAAGGAGGGGCGGGAGCAATGCCATGGGGAAATGAAGAAAGTATTAAGTTTTGGCTGAAGAATATTTGGGGTGTTATAACACTGACAGGCGACTGCTGGTGTGGTACTCGTTCTGGGGCCATTTTACAGAGGATGATAAAAAGCTAGTACACCAGAAGTACAACAGCAACCTCTGTGTTATTCCGGGAAGTTGTACATGTAAGCTCCAGCCATCTGACATTTCCTTGAACAAACCTTTTAAAGACAAGATTGGAGAGAGCTGTATGACAAGTGATGTTTTAACGGTCCTGTGGAGAAAACCAAAGAAGAGAATTGTAAGGCTCCATCTAAGGCAGTTAGGGACGAGTCGTTTATTAGAATGACTATAGTATTTAAATCTGCCAAACAAAGTGGGGGACTTGTTTTTCTCTGTTTTAATAATTTTATTATTTTCGTTAATTAAAATTCTGTAGATCTGGCAAATATTGATGGATTTGACCAATATGATCTCATTTGAGATCTCACTAATATAAAGCAACACACTGAATTTGGGTCAAATCTGTTTACCAGGTATGAAAATTTCAGTTATTTTATCGTAATGAAGACATGATCTATGTTTACGATTTTAAAGACCTGTGTATCTCATGAAAATGCAGACAGAGTTTGAACAATACTGAACTCAACAAATTTCTATTTTGATAACAAAGAATATAGTAAATTTGCTTCAAACTGAAGCAAAAATCTCCAGTTATTCTGAAGTAACCCCAAAAACAGACTAGCAGACAGACTTACTAAATACAGTATGCCCACTATTTTCATGGGGGTGAAAAAAAAAATAATGTGGAGTTAAAATAAGTTCAGGAAATATTAGCATGCTTTTTTCATGTCCAATAGCTTGATGTTACACTTAACAGCAAGATGCCATTTTGAATAGACCGTTTTTCTTTCTATTCTACCATTTGTTGCCTAGTAGAAAATAAGTTTATTACCAAGGATTTGGGTAAGGTTCATTAAACTTGCCTATGGTCTTGTGATGAGTGATAGATGTACTAAACCGCCTTTCATTTATGGCACAAAGTCCATGACAGACAAGTGGTAGTGATGTTGAATCATCACACACTATTGATTATATCAGTATACTGTGTAGCCACTGTTAAACAATTCATAGTTAATAAAACATAGTCACTTACATATATTATATATTCCCCTTATTGATTTTGTCCTGTGTCAGAACTGACCTATATGTATATGATGTTTAGCCACTGGTCAACCCACTGTGTGTATTGGGTGTATACTCATTGGAGATGTTGACAATTGCAATACCAATATAGCCAAGCCTATACATAAACATACCGATGTATATATATATTATAAATACATATATGTATATTGACGCTTCATCACAATCAGATTTCAATTGGTATCACATGTATGTGGTTTCACTCCGGATTGCAGGTTTGTTTCAACATTTTAGATTTATATCTAATATATATATATTTCCTGGCAAAAGCAGGAATATTGGTGTTGATAAGTGTATTAAGAAATATATACTTTGTATATATGTTACATCATTAATTCTTATCTTTAATTGTTAAGTTGTGGCTTTGTGCCATATTCTAAATAACATATATATATATTGTCAGGTGGCACAACAATAACGCACTTGTGTTTCACCGAGGCATTCCGGATTATCCGAGGTGGAATGGATATGTAAAAGTTCAGTCACTTGTTCAACCATGTGGGTATTCCCTGGATACTCCTAGGGTACTCTGGTGAAACTGTTACCTCACACAGTAAGACCTTTTACCTTGCATGCTTCAATCGAGCCAACAAGAGTGATTGATATAAGTTGGAATGACTTAACAGAGTTTGTTTGAATATGGGTCCAACACCAGTTTATTCTTTGTGCATCAATTAAATAATTGAATGATGATCATGTCAACAAAGTAAATGTTTTGCTAATGTTTTTTGTCCTTATGACCATGTTCTGATGTTTATTGTTAGGTCACAGTATGATTAGTATCCAGGTGTCAGACCCACATTCAAAGGTTAATAGGTCAAGATCACATTTGACAGCATCTGTAAATTCATCTAACCATGAACATGTAGCATGGGAGCAAGTCACAATGATTTTATTTGCCCTATTTTACAGCTGAAAAATGGCTGTTATCCCCAGTCAAAATTGGTGTTATATTCCCAATAGAAACAAAATTAAAAATATTTTCCAATTTTTTTGAAAATCCTACTTTATTTTTCCAATTCAATGAGGCATAGGAAACTGAGAAACATGCTTTTCATTTTATTGGTCTTGTTTTGATCTTGAACTGTTTATGCCACATTTCATTTGTGACAAGATTTTCAAGCTGGCAGCCAGATAAGATGTTTTGCTGAGGCATAAATTGGAAACATCCCCACAATTTTCGCACAACTTTTCAGCTAGTATAACATGACAGCTTATAGATCAAAGTGTTAATGTTGATGACATATAAACATAGCATTTTCTCCTGTGGACTGTGTACAATGTATATATATATATACATCATGTATATTACATTTTCCTGCTGCAAAATTAATCTAATACAACAATATGAATTATTGGACACATTGTGATCACCAGTTCTAGTTCACTGTTTAGAAATAAATACTATTTAGAATTTAGGTTCAGTTTTTCTTGTGCATAGTTTTACATATGTATTTTTTTAGTTAAATTCGGCCATGTTGATTAACATAGCAAAATGCTGTTGTTTGACTTGGAACACAATTTTGTTAAGTAAACTTCAGCTAAATCAACTGGCAATGCCCGAGAAAAAAATGTCTACACTGTTAGGAGGGTATTAGATATAGGTTGTGTAAATGAATACTGAACTAGATTCAAAACACATTCAGCCCTGTCCAAATATCTTTATCACTAGCTGATAAAGCTGTACAATTTTATAAGTTACCTACTGGTATAACAACACCATCTGATACAGCGGGCTTCCTGGCTGATTGGTCCTATCAAACTAGTATGAATTTTTTTTGACACTTCTGTAGAAGCTGAGACTACAGGTGCCTTATTTGATTCAGCCAGGGGGGGTGAGGGGAATATCCCTTTAGTCAAGTGGTAAACTGTCCAGCGAGAGACGATGGAATGGTCGTTAGTTCGAACCCCAGAGGTGGTAAGGTGTTCTTCATTACTCCTTCAGATTTAGTGCTGTTGACCTCTCCATGGGTAGAATATAGAGGAGATTGAGATGCTTCCTTGTACATGTATTCATGTCTGGGAACTATTAAACTGTATGTAAATTTTGTGTTCTCTAAAATCATTCACATGTATGGTTAGTATTAGGAAATTTCTGAAGATCAATTGAGTTATCAAAGCAATTGTTTAAGGACCAACATTACCATATGCTGAAACATACAATGCATGTTATGTGACTAATGTTAGATCTAGACCAGTCAGGACATGTCTGATAAAAATGTGTCCACCACATGCAGTACAGCTGCTATGAGATAACTCCACGCCAGTGATGTCAAAAGTATTGCACCTGCATTGAAATAACTCCACTCCAGTGATGTCAAAAGTATTACACCTGCATTGAGATAACTCCACTCCAGTGATGTCAAAAGCATTACACCTGCATTGCGATAACCCACTTCAGTGATGTCAAAAGCATTACACCTGCATTGAGATAACTCCACTCCAGTGATGTCAAAAGTATTACACCTGCATTGAGATAACTCCACTCCAGTGATGTCAAAAGCATTACACCTGCATTGAGATAACCCACTTCAGTGATGTCAAAAGCATTACACCTGCATTGAGATAACTCCACTCCAGTGATGTCAAAAGTATTACACCTGCATTGAGATAATTATACTCCAGTGGTTTCACAGTACAGCTGCTCCTTTACAGATCACTGTTGTTGACAGTTTCCTACAACTGATGATGTGTTATCCTTGAACTCCCAAGTTTTTTGCTTGACATTCTACGAGAACATAACTAGGCCTGTTCAGACACATTCTCTAGCTTTCTTATAATAGATAAAGTATGTGTACCAAAAACAGGTCTAGACTACAAACTTGAAATGGTTCTTCATTTTATATGTCAGAAAAATTCAGAGCTACTGCCCTTCAAATTCACTTCAACAGATTTCTGTTAGTATCAGTTCTGTTGTGTAATTTCATAATGAGATGAATGTAGCATGACAAATTACAAAAGTCTGTGTACTGTTGGTAGATGATATAAGATTTTACTGAAGTATCTCAGAAAGACATTGCAACTCTCTTTGCATGCTATTGTAGTTTCAAATTTTTGCCTGGCCATGATAAAGCCATCAATTACAGGTTTGTATAGGTATTTAATGGTTAATTCTTTCAATACTACACAAAGCTAGGGGCAAGTGCTTATTGGCTTTAGTTAATAATGTCGCAGTTCAGTCAAATTTTTGGCTCCATGTTTTATTTACCATGTAGAAATTAGACCTACATGTAGATGAGAAAGGTACATATACAATAACGAAAAGTTATTTAAGATATGAACTGACAGACTTGGAGACTGTCCAACACAGTTGATTAATTACTGGTTTATTTCTACCAGGTAATTTGTAGGCATTTTGTACCTACTTCCCTGCCCTGTAAAACCTTTTGTGATAAAGATCTACATTTTCATCCATTTGATTACATGAATTAATGTAGTAACAATTAATATGAAGACATTTTATAGCTAAACAGAAATAAATATTTAATATGCAATAAGGCTTGATGACAAGCTAGCTAACTAGAAAGTGCAGAAATTTTGAAATAGCTTTTAATTTAAACAAGTTATAATGTGACTTCAAGGTGATTTGAGCAAATTAACAAATATACCAATATTTATAATGTGAAAACAGAGATTGAACAATAATAAAATGAAGGATGTTTTATTTGCTTTCTGCTGTACATGTATCTAATAAAAGCAAGATGTTTGTCTACATCCCAGTATAGATCTGAAAATAGGACTTATGGACTATACTTTATAAGTAATTAACCTAGTATAAAGGAGTTCAGACCTGAGTGATCCTGTGACATTCTGGCAAATGTAATGACTGCTAAAACTGAACATTTCTCTACAGTCATAAAACACTATTAACCATGTCTGCTTCTCCAGCTTTGAAGAAGCAAATATACCAGTATTCCTAATATGAAAACCTTGACGTAGAACAGATAAGTTAACGGAACAAATTCATAAATATTCATAACCATATTTAAAATATATTGCAATACTGCTTGATGACGAGTAAGCCTAATGTACCATATATTTTCAAAACCTTTAAGCTGCAAAAAGTTAAAACACTTGGTATGTGTTTTCAGACTAAGTGAAAATGTTGAAGGAAAAAAAAAAACTAGCACTGATAAAAATGTAATTAACATTACATCCATTACATTTTTCCTTTTCAACTTTGAAGTACATTATTTTCTTTTCGGATATAGAGAAAAGATGTTAAACATGTCTAAAAAGAAAGCATTTTATAATTTTTCAAAAACTCATGCAAGACAACCATAACCTTTCCATTCATCTGATTCTTGCCCATAAATGAATATATTCAACACTGCTTGATGAATAGTTGAGCTTTAGAGAAGAACATTTCAAATGTACATGTGTTGATGTGGTGTATAAATCACCGTGTGATGTACAACATCTCAGTAGGTAGTATATCACCTATGCAATACTAGTAATATTCAAATTTTGTTTTATTATTGGAGATGCAGGTGTGTAGAGTTGATATCATATTTGTGTGTTATTGTTATGGAAATATAAAGTGATTTGGAATGATTATGTCAACATTATGGTTTGTATTTTTGGTCACAATTCCAAGGCCAGTATATGTATTTACATTTATAAGAGATTTTGATTTTGTTTCAAATAAAACAGTATTTAAACATCAGATTTCAAATTTTAGTAGGTTGAACTGTATGTAGAACAAAAACACCTTTTCAGTTTTTTCAATTCAGATTTGAAAACATTTGTAACATTACTTTTCAAATCTCTTTACTTAATTAATTTTAAGTTTGGTTCAGATTTAATTTATTTAATTGTATATATATATTAAATTTTTTTTTTATACAAACACTGCAACATACAGATAATTGCATGACTTTGCAAATTTCAGGTCAAGGATAAGATATTTTTCAGGGAACTTCATTAAAAAAACCTGCTGTATTTCTGGCGTGATGCATATCCTAACTTAGTGATATATATGGTAGTATATGTTTACAAACCCATCCATCAGTTTGTCTGTACACGACATTGTTTCGGGCATGTCACATACTTTCTCATTCAGAGGCCAGGCTATGTGTGGGAATACCAGTATGATGGTTTGTTGCTGACTAAAATCAGGGCACCTCTCTATATGCATTGCATGTGTCCTGTTCTCATAGTGTGAGTTGTGTCGGGACCAAGCCGGGGACCTATATAAAGCTATCATATTTCTGAAGTCTAACTCCAGATAAACTTGTTTAGGTATCATGAAGATAACTTGGTTGTTACTTGTGAGGGTCTCTGCGGACGGATGTAAATATAAAATTGTTGTCTTTTTTTTATAGGTACATCTGGTTATCCTACTTTGATGATTTGTGTGATCTTATCTGACCTCTGCCTTTTTGGATGCTGTGTGACCTTGCCTGACCTGCAAAACTGACCTTCCTCTTCCATTCACCATATATAGGAAATAACTTGACACCATGACGAGGGATAGCTATAATGTTAATGATGGAAAATGTACCAATGGTACAACTGTAATGAACAGTAAGTAATTTTACTTAATTTATTCAAAAATTTTTTTACGTTACAATATTTGCATGCACAGCATTATACTTTGTGTTATATACTGCACATATTACATATTCATCTTCTCAAATTGATATGCAGGAAAATGTTTTCAATTCTTACATAATTTGGTTGAATTTATTTCAAATAATGTAAGGAAATTTCCATCTTGTTTGTTATAGTTGATCTGGAAAACTGTAAATTAATTTGAAATTATTTTGAGTGGTTCTATCAAAATAACATCATTGTGGTTACAGGTCAATATGATGAAAAGGAAAAGTTCTTACCACCTGTCAAGGTGGAGCCTGGGCTTGACAGCATCAACAAAAACCCTGACGACCTTGAACTTAATAAGGAGGATGATGCACCTAAGGACAGGTCAGCTTAAATTAGCACAGCTAACAATTTCAGTAATCCAGGTATTTGTGGAATATACCTGTCATGGATATTGTATCCGTAGTGAAAGAAGAGTGGAAAGATGTTTCCAACAAAATTTAGTTTGTATATACCATCACTCAACATATTTGATGAACAATTCTGTCTGTCACCAACATCTGATGATAAGTACCTTGTAATATATATGTTTCTAAAAAGAATGGTGCTGTTTAGCATATTGTAACATCATAGCCAAATTTCTTGCTTATCCGAATCTCAAGTTTCTTAACTTTAATACTCATTCTTGTACTTGCAGATATCGAATTGTCTTCTTCATAATGTTGATTCATGGAATCGGTATCCTTATGCCATGGAATATGCTTATCAATGCTAAATCGGTAAGTGTAAATGGAATTGATGATATTTAATATGAAATGGAATACAGCCTGGCTTCCACTCTGAAGCATATACCGGTTCACTCATTGTTGGTCTGTTAAGAGTCTTTCACTATGAAATGGTCAACATTTTAGATTTGAGACTGTTCAAGTAAAACATCTATCTCATTCCAGGGTTTTATTCAGGGGTATTAGGTAGGAGTTATGGGGTCAAGTACTGTGCAATCATTAATTTTTGTGAGGGAATAATTTTGGGTGATTTTGTGGGCATTCTTAATTCACAAATGGATATATCCAGGAACTATTGAAATTAGTATAAGTAGATTTTATTGAGTTATATTGATCTATGAAATGAAGTGCTGACAAAATATTGATTTCATGAAAAGTGAAGCTCAAAGAAAATTTATGATTTTACTGTGTTTTACTTAGATAATCCTTTTTTTCCTTTTTGGTTCATTAGTTGATAAACTGATTAATATCACCTCTTCTCTAAAAAGGAAGTCAAATATCTTTCTCAATATTTGTGCACTAATTTTTACCATATTTCAACTTTTTTTTGAAGTCGGTGATATTGGAAATTTATCATTCAAGTACAGCTATTTTAACGGAGTTGTTGACATGAAATGTAGATACTGTGTGTTGATTTTGACAGTATTTTGAAGACTACAAGCTTTCCAAGAACACAACAGAAGTTAATGAACTTAGGAGCAATTTCATGTTTTACCTTGGAATAGCATCACAAGTTCCAAACTTTATCATGAGTGGTATCAACACTTTTTGTCACTGTGGTGGAGGGTAAGTATTTATATATTCATTTCCCATCCAGTCATTTCCTTAATGTTCATGCTCAGTATACATCAGTATTTCCAAGATAAAAACAAAAGTTAGAAAAATACGAATTCAGTCAAAATAAAAGTCAGAAAGCCATGATTTTTTCTGCTTCATCTAAATGTTTGGAAAATGATATGTACAGTTTGACTTAGATCAAAGTTGAATCCTACACAGACATGCCTGAATATAATATTTGTCTCTCATATATTACATGTGCATCTGTGTTATAGATATAGTATGACATACAGTAAGTTGTAATAACAGTGATACTGTTGTGATGTCAAAAGGGATTGACGTCGCATAATTGTCTCAGTGGTAAACAGAATACTTCCATTTCATTTGAAATGCAAGATCCTGTATTCTTATTTTGCAGCATGCCCTCATCACGGAGAATTGTGATTGCTATTTCTTTGGAAGTTGTGTTATTCATAATAACAGTGATCCTAGCCATGGTGGATAGCACTGATTGTAAGTATACTGACATTCTATTGTAAGACCTGCTTTGTTTAAAGGACTTTAACAAGGCATCTGACCGTCTTTGTCACTAGACCTCCACCTCTTAGTTGCAGGTTTGAAGTGGTCAGGTATTGGCTGCCGGTCAGTGGATTTTGTCCAGGAGCTCAATCTTTCCTCTAACACTCAAACCTGGCATGTCCATATATGACCCTGGCTGTTTATAGGTTATACAGCAACAATATACCTAAATCTGTCAATTAACTGACTTCAGCAGGTCACCCACTAATCAGTACAAAAATGTATATTATTGGTTGAAGTAGCCTGTAGTGTTATTTGCAACCTGCAAGAAAAGATATTGAGCAAATTTCATTTTCACCCATTTTGAAAGCCACAATGGTGATTTTCCATGGAATAAATATGTTGTCTAGGATGAGAGTGAAATTGCTGACATAGAATAATGCATACAAATCCAAGTTATATGATGTATGTTGTGTTTGTTTGATTCTATTTGTGTTAATCTTGTTTATCTTGTAGGGTCCAGGGAGTTTTTCTACATAACTATGCTAACAGCTGTCTTCCTTAACAGTAAGTAATCAGTCTGGTGCCCAGTTTCTAGACCTCAGCCAGCTGGTCATAATTAGGGTAGTAGTAATATATCTTAGCTCAGATTTGATGCACATCACAATACACATCCTTCCATTGAATAATTTTTGATATGATACACATGCTGTTGGTAATATTTGTTGCTGACTTTAAAGGAGCATTAAAAATCAACCCACAGTACAATGCTCTATCAGAACAAGATTCTGATGTGAAGTGTATTGAAAATATTTACTTACTTATAACCAATAAGTTGAATTATAGAAGAAATAGTACAATACAAGCCTTTCTTGCTTGCTGTGGAAATAAAAATATCTTAATAATTCACAACAAAACAATTAGAAAGCAATATCTGGTATCTTTTTTGACTGACTATAAATGGTGTGTTATGTCATAATGAAAAGGCAGAGATAGCAAAAATTGAATCCGAGTGTAGTTATCACCTTATGTATCGAATAGTGTCCCTTTTGTCCCTTTTCATAATGAGCATGTCTTGGTAAGTTCACATTGTTACTCTTCTTGGATGCAACTTCCCGTATGAATTAAATCACAAGACAGATAAGTATGCCTTTGGTATTTATTTTTCAAGGTCATGATATTTCCTGTTGCTCTGTTCATGTTTTCTAATATGTATGTGTAATGGGGGAGGGGTTGGGTTGGCATAAAAAATCCTTCATGGTATATGTACATGCCCTCCATAGTTTAATCTATGAACTATGTACTGGTATGCTTCACACATATCAGTATATGGAGGAATGCGATTTGACATTGGAATGTTTTTTCAGATTTATAAATTTTCAGATGATCTTTCTATGATACTATATTATATTAATCAGTCCTTCACCATTTTACGTCTAGTGGCTACTGGTGTATATCAGAACAGTGCATTTGGTCTCGCTGCCATTCTACCCATGAAGTACACAAATGCCATTGTTCTTGGAAATGTAAGTAATCTAAATTTTCTATACCAAGCAACTATTTATATATCAGCAATATACAGGAATTAAAAGTTACAGGACTGAGACCAGTAAGACATTGCTCTCAAGGTGCACCCTGATGAGAAAATAATACTAATTTAAGGGTTTGTATAGTTAATTCAAAAGAAAAATTTAAAACGAGAAAATGTTACTACCACATATGGGTTCATCTGAAATCAATGTTCAGTGGTAGGATTAATTTAATTGATAATATTTGCATTAGCATTGCTGAACATAAATTTAGGTTATCATTTGCTTGCTACCACATATGGGTTCATCTGAAGTCAATGTTCAGTGGTAGGATTAATTTAATTGATAATATTTGCATTAGCATTGCTGAACATAGATTTAGGTTATCATTTGCTTGCGCACTAGTTTAATACAGTAGGAAGGAAGAGAGTGTCTGTTACAGGACAGTGAAAAAGCATATAGTTTAATGATATCCACAATATTCTAGGGTTTACAATCACTTTTGCTTTTTGGGCCCCTAGAACATGTCATGGCAAAATTAAAGACGAAAGCAAAGTAATTTGATTGTTTCCAGGAGAGAAAAAATTCACCAATTACAGGCAGATATGTTCTGTTTGAAGATTACAAAGGAGCAACATCTAGCTTCATTATAATTACAATATACCTTTATGCAACCTCAAGATCTACATCAAAGACTCAAATTGCCCAGGTAGTCTTTTTGTCGAGTCCACAAGGTGTCGCACATGTAACCTTCAATTTAGCCATGATATGTTTCACGGTAGCAGAGAACAATAGTGATTGTATTTCCTGGAGAATCGTGGATGAATGATGGTATTGTGGAGGACTTGTTGTCTGGCAAGGACTCATTGCTGTGTAGATGTTGTGAATACTCGTGAATATACCTATAAAGGAGATCAAAATATGACATGATTTGTCGGTGAAGCTTCAGCACCACTTATGGTATTATGATGTAGTTCTTGGTAGATGTCTTTTGAACTTTATTTTTCGCTCTCTGTTTACAGAATCTGTCTGGTGTTTTTATTGCTGTTGTCAATCTGCTTGCTTCTGCTGGTGAGTGACACTGATTTTAATCAGAAGTACACATGTCAGATCACAAGATATGCTATTTATGGCACAATCAAGTCAGTAAAAATCTCTTTATGGCCAATTTATAGATGTAAGAGAGAGGGGAAGTATGTAGTGTTACCCATGTTCGACATATATCTGCCTCATCCCAAATTGGAATCTGTTTGATATCTCAAGAACCTTTCGACAGATTTGATTTTCCTACATTTTGCACGAAAGGAAAGATATCAAGAGGATTTGTATGTTTTCCAGTTTATAACAATTACAATTTTTCCTGCTGGGAATTAATAACCAAACATAAAATGCAGAAGATGATGAATGCCATCACAATGGATAGAATTCTTCTGCTTGAAATGTATGTACTATCTACCATTATTGTTTCCACTGATTGTATAAAGTTACAAGTCCAAGTAAGTTTATATATCTTTTCATTGCTGTAATAATTTTTTACAAACCTTTATGATCCAACGTTTATTGCATATAATGAAATGTTTGTAATTTGTACATTTGGAAAGCTACTTTTCTGGATCTGACCAAACATCTCTACATGTAATTTATTTCCTTTCCAGGGGCACCTGACCCAAAGATTCAGGCCATCTATTACTTTGTTGTTGCCATAGTGATACTTCTGGTGGCTCTTGATGCTTACTTCCTCCTCCCTAACATGGTAAGTCTTGATACAGATTATGGAGACCTTAGGGATTCATTATCGCCTTCAATATTTCATTTCCTGCCCATGACAGTAAACTATTGGAGATCAGTTTGAAACTGTAATTAGCTCATCCCTCTCCCCAGTCCCAATTAAGTTATTTCTGTACCTTTTCTACCTTGTCATCCAGTATAACGTAATCAATCTGTTCTATTTTTTACAGAAATTTTACAAGCACTACAAAAGCCAAGTAACTGCAGCCATGTCAAACAGTGAATCTCCGAGTTCTTCATCCTTCAGCCAGACAATGGGTCAGTTCAAAAATGTCTTCATCAAGGTAAGAACCATTGACTATATTCAGCTTCATCCATAAAAAGAATTTTGGCTGTTTTTTATATCAGGCTTAGGGACTTTGATGTATGGAGTTTGAAATTATTTTCATTTGAATAGGATGAAGCAATGAATGCATTGGTCTGGTTACACATTGGTAACTCAACTGTCGCCTTGCCATTAGGGATTTAATTAACTGAATTAAAGGTAGGGAGGGAGTTATTTGCCCAATCATGTGGGTTTCTATGGAAATCTTTTAAGGGATCAAGGAATGTTTGTATAACTTAAGCCTGATTATTTACATAAAGCTACATGTCCTATTTGTGAATGAAGATCAACACATTATAATATCTGGATAATATGAAATCTAATTATAACCTTTCATCACTCTTTTTGTACAGATAAAGGTCCAGGCCATTTGTGTTTGGTTTGTCTTCTTCGTGACGTTATCCATCTTCCCTGCCATTTGGAGTAACGTTAAGAGGATTGACTTCCCTCTCAGTGGTAGGTATCAACTAACATTAATCAAATATTTCTGTATTTAGTAAATGAAATAAGAATGGAGAGGTGAAATATTGTTTCATTCAGAGGATTTCAAACTTCGGGATTATTGAGGAAACTTGGCCATGATTAATATTGCATGATCAAAATTTTCAACAACAACAAAAATTACGGTATATTGGTACTATTGTTGGGGAATGTACTTTTGTTATATAAAACAGAGCACAGAATTTAGTACTAAAAAAAACATTGTTCAGTAAGTCCTAATCTCATTAATGTTTGTTAAATGCCTCTATATGTCAAAATCATTGTATTTATAGACATATTTTTACCAAGAAGTAGCTCCAATCCTACTGGTCGGCCAGTTTATTATGGGACATCAAACTGACTGACCTCTTGTGCTCCTAGATTTGTTTCTTTCATGCTTGTTCTGCTCGAAATCTGAAAGTTTCAATAGTATCTCAAAACAATGTCTGACACTATTGAAATATGGCAGTATCTATTAATAAAAGAAATCTGAAGGGTTTTTGCGATGAGCTGTAACATTTTTAGAAGCAAACATATTTGAAAGTTCTGAATAGTGAGTTTATGACATGTTAAAAATGTGAATGTTTATGAAGTACAGTTAACACAGGGAAGGGATATAACTCTTACAGTTATAACTACAAGAAATACGGGACATGGCAGGAATTAAGATAATTGAAAGCTTGGATATGTGGCATTCGGAAATGCCACATTCTTCTCTTTACAGTATTTCACAAAAAATAAATTCTGTATGTATTCAATATTATAGATTTAATTTGTAATCCTTAATTTAAATCAAAACTCGAAAAAAATTATACACTGGTTCTTTATTTGAACTAAAACATTGAATTTGCTATTGAACAACTAAGAAATCACAACATAAATTTCATTTATACTTTAATGATTTTTTGCAGATGGGATGTTTGTTGGAATTTTCTGCTTCCTGAGTTTCAATTTGTTTGCTGTGCTTGGTAATTTGACATCAGAGTTTATCAAAGTGGTAAGTTATTTATAGAATATTCCTGTTTCACTTGTATTTTGTTCAGTGCTGTCAATAGAATACAGTTACTACTAGAAATAGTTTAATCTTGTACTGATCAAAATAATTTTGTCTTTTATGACCATGTAACATTTTGAAGAATTCAGCCCTAACACGAACTTACCACATATAGCAGACGACCAGATTCTGCTCAGTTAATGTTTTACATTAGACATTTACCCAAATTTGACAGTCTTTGATATTTTGATGAAGAATGAACAGATGTTATTGTCCTTTAGATGATAACCTCTTTTGATATTTAGAAGTGATATGAAGTAATGTGTTACTAAATTTATCAGTATGTGAGTATGGTATGTGTTAAGATGGTTTGTTTATATTACAGCCAGGACCAAAGTATGTCTGGGTACCGATCCTGCTCCGTGGTCTGCTCATTCCTTACTTCCTGTTTTGTAACTTCCAACCGGGTACAGGGCGTACATTAGCTGTTCTTATCGAGAGTGACTATGCAGCTATTTTCGGTGGTGTTATTCTGGCCTTCACCAGTGGCTACTACAGTAGTCTTGTTATGATGTATGGCCCAAAGTAAGTGTTAAACAGATACAAAAAATGTTAAAAGGAGAAGGGGACAAAGTTTTGTATGATACAGGCAGGAACTTCGCTCCTGAGAGGATAGGGGGAATTAATGACATAATACTGCCCACTAGCAACAAGGGGGAAATATCTGTATCCTTTCTTATCAAAGAATTTTTACTATATTTGGTCTTGAACCACCTTAGAGTTTGGTTTACCCAGGATCTGGCTTCCCTGGAAGCAGAGAAATGAGATATAACAGTAAACTATAAAAATATGTGACAAATCTTCCAAACTTTTCTTCATTGTTTTGTAAAGGAATCATAATAGCGTAACTGTTTTCTTCCTCCAAATTATCACTGGGCCATATTTCTTGTCTGTTAAACTTCGCATTTAAAAACATATAATATGAAATATTGATGTATGGAATCTTGCGCTTGAAAAGGAGAGTAAGTGAAAATACAAAATTTGTGTCTGATTGTGATTGTAGGTTGGTGGAGCCAGAGGTAGCCGGCAAGGCTGGAATGATAATGGCATTTTGTCTGGTGACTGGGATAACAACAGGCGTAGCCTTCTCATTTCTTCTGTCCGTAATGGTTAGTTGGGGTTAACTACTGACTCCGATACCAAAATGATCTATCATGACCTTTAGGAAGGAGGTCATAGACAACAATTACTTGCTACATCTAAAGTAACGGTCAAGACCATTCTTCATCCAGGATCAAGTTTAAGATCAACAAGCTGATCAGCTAAAAGGATGTATGGATGTGACTGTATTGTTACAGCAAAAGTAAAACCATTGACTTGCCAAGCATTTAAATATGTAGTTATGGAACTGCACTTGCCTTCATTTTATCACATGAAAATTAGGAAATAACCAATGTATGTTCTTCCAGTTAAAAAAAAAATCATTATTAGGTGTTGTTATATGTTGCTAAAACCGTAACAGTAACACGTATTATAAGACATTTAAGAAAAAATAACAACAGACTTCTGTCACTTGGCTGCAGTGTCTGGACCACTCACTTGAAATGTTTATTCATAGCTACATGATTGCAAAATGAGGGAATTGTTCATTCACAGCCTAGCCACAATAACAGGACCTCTCAAGGTATAATATGGGTTTCACGGTTCATACTGCGCTGTCAATGCCTCTTGAGAGATGAGTGTGTTAACAGCTTTCTGAAAAGCTTGTGCCCTTGCACTTCCCATAGTTTAATCAGTATATCACAATTATGTAATGTAATTTTCGAATCATTGAATTTGAACTAACTCTTTTTATAAAATTGTTTTAATTAATATCATTCCGGGAATCTACAGAACAAGAGATTTACAGTTTAGATTTACGTGCTCAGATATTGGTTAAATTTTGTGGATAAGTTTGATAACAGCATGTAAATGATGAAGGAAGATGGCGATGTAAAGTCCTAAGAGCTTACTGTAAACGTACTTGATTTTGTGCCATCAAATTTTAAGGCTCTATCACTTTTTGGCAAATTAACGTCACGATGAATTTGTATATCCACAATAATTGTTAAATAAACATACATAAACTGCTATTTGAACAACAATCTTATTGTAGCGCTATGATTTCGGTATGAAAAACGCTGAAATAAGATTATGCTAAAATATGTATGTTTACAGTATCAGAAAGGTCAGTTCCAAAGGATTAACGTTCCCTACCCAAAGCCAGGTATTAAGTTTACAATATGCAAGGGACCACAGCCCATAATGGTTGTTGATTGAATTTTATACACTGCCAAACACTGACAGCTTTATTGTCAGTTTACAAAATTTATACTTCAAGACTTTATTCTACACAACCTGCCAGATATTATTGAGAGCTAGTTTTATCAGCTAATCCTACAGGTATTTGATGATGTTCAAATGTTCATAAACCTCATTTTCATCTTCAGACTTCATTCATCTTGATATCCTTCTAGATGCAATATGAATTAGATAACTTTCCCAAGTCTTCTCGGGGTTCCTGATAATATTTTTTTAAAAGTACTAGTTTTATCTACTAGTAATATCATTTAAAGCAACATTTCGCTGTTGATATACATAAAGCTGCCACAAGATACGCTCGCTATAATAACATAGCTAGTTCATGTGCACGCTGCTGAAACAAGGTGGTCTCCAAAGGCAAATCTACTGGAATAGCTCCATCATAAAGGCCTACATTTGTTAGTGTAATTAATGCAGGTTTGTCTGCTGTATACAAATTATAGCTAGTTTGTACTGCATTGTACTTAGCATGTTTTGTTCAAACATTTTCAGTACATGAGGCAGCAAGTAGAGTCTCTGCATGTGTTCTTTACTCCAAGCAATTTATTTATTGTGGTTTACTGTATTTAATGGGCAATAAGCCCATCCATATATAGTGCTTTTCCATTAAAATAGAAGCCAGTGCTTTATCAGACATTTATTTAACCCAAACCATGACATGAATAAGCAGTAAATGCATTGTTCGGGGTTCTTTTTTTTCAGAAATTTTGAAATCCTGCTTATTCATTATTGCGATTTCCAGCTGCTGCCCCTTCTTACAATTTTGTTTCACACAAGTTTGTTAGTGCTGATATTAAGCTTACAATCTAATTTATTTGTTGCTCTTATTTGAATTCTTTTTAAAGATGCTATTGACATATTTAAGCTGTACATACTGCCTGTCTTACTCTATCCCAGGTATTTCAATATTTCAGTTTATTTTAATCTTAAGCACTACGCTTTGTTCAGTTTGTCACAAAAGAGGCAATAAGGAGGATTTAATCAAATATCACATTAGATTTTGAGACATATCTATTGATAGTCATTAAAAATAGATAGATCAAGTCCCTGTTCCTATATTTATTTGAGATCAGAGCCCTGTTCCCATATTTATTTGAGATCAGGGCCCTGTTCCCTTTTTTATTTGAGATCAGGGCCCTGTTCCCTTTTTTATTTGAGATCAGGACCCTGTTCTCATGTTTATTTGAGATTTAGGCCCTATTATCTTGTTTAATTGAATAATAAACTAATGATTTTCCGTAGAATATTTTCAAAATATTGGTTCCTTGATATAAAATTTTCTGTAAAAATATGGACTATCATACATTCATATTGAATTCAGTCATTGGCTGCCATACTGACTTCACATCATATTTTCAACCATAATAATAATGATCATTCAAAATTACACATTCCATATTAGCAGAACTGTTTAATATTTTTTTCTAAATTGATTGCGTACAATGAAAAACTGACACCAATTACCTTCATTGATATTAAATCAGGGATACAATTTTTCTAAGTTGAGGTAACATGCCAGAACATTTTTTGTAAGAAGTCGTGTTTCCAGTTAATTCACAATAGCAAGTTTGTACATTTTTTATAAGTGGTAGTGCTGTGATTATCATTCATCATAAGTAAACTAAATGAAATTGCTAGTTTCTAGACTAGATTGAAATGAAATGTTTAGGTAGTAAGTATTGTTTTTGTCTTGCCAAAAAATTCATCAGATTTTAATACCTTTTGTTATATTTATATGTTATCAGATGTTGCAGATTTGGTCATATGAAAGATAAATTTTCTGAATTGTAAGGTAAAGTCTTAATGGAATACAAAGAATGTACATATTATTCTTAAATATAGGAAAGAAAATATTGTTTTGCCCTGCTAAATGTACAAGTATTATTTCTGATCTCACTATTATCACTTATTTTATGAGAGAAGCATGTCTTCCTGAAATTCCCACTTGGCTCTTGATCTTTTTCATGAAGCCGATCTCTTTGGATACTTTAACTCAAGCATGACTTGATGAATGGTGACCAGATCATTAAAATTGTAGATCCACCACGAGAAATGCAGATAAAGACCCCTTGGATTTTTCCAAACACACACATAGATTATTAGATCATGTTATTGATTTAATGATTTTTTGTTAACTGTTGTTGGTTTACAAAAAACACTTTCAGTCTTTTAAAAAAGTTTCCTCGGAAAAATGGTGTTAATGTTGATATTGTTTATTGTTTTCCTTTCTCAGTATAGTTGACTGCAAACCCATATCAAGGAAATTATATCTTCTTCACAGATTGAACATTTTAGTTTAGTATTTGTAAATTTGAAGTCTAGTAGTATATTGGTGTTCAAAAACTTGATCAATGCAAAACTATCCAGCTGATTTTTGTTATACAGTATACATAGATGTGTGTCTTTGTTTTGAATGTGTGTATTTACTTATTAACATACCTTTACTAATAACTTGTTAATTCTGAGGTAAAGAGGCCTATGTTTGTTTGTGTTTGAGGAAATATTCTGTTTAGCTATACGAATGTTTGCCAGAGTCAATCTGACTGGTGTAGTCAATTATACACAACTCACTAGTCTATTTATAGCTAGGTGCTATGATGTAACCAACTCTTATTGAGATGTTTAATGAACATAAATAGATCTTCATTATTTTTATTCCAAAACTTAAAAACTTGGGATTTTTTCTATCACCAGTATGTTGAGAACTAGGCTTGTTAACCGCACACATCTTTATAATTGTAGTTTAGTCAATGTGAAACATCTCCTTCAGCAAGCAGCTAAACCTAGGAGTCCTTGATTGTGACATGCAAGCATGTCACAGTCAAGGAGGCCATTCACATTCCTGTAATCAGATGTCTCAAATCAAATATAATTTCAGATACTTACAACTACAGACTAATAGCACTGTCAACCTATTCTGTCCATTAATAAGTCCATGTGCTGGTTTAATACTACTGACAAAGGGTAGGTTAAGTCAGTTTGCCTGTAATATATTTAATGTACTGACAATAGCAGGATTGAGTCCTTTTTACCTGTATTGTAAGTGACAAATAGGTGGCTGGGTAGGTTGAATTCTTAAGTGTACTATTCTTATGATAATAGCTAGATTAAGTCCATTTTCCTGTAATCATCGCAAGGAAAGTTAGGTTTTGTTGTGATTTATAATTCTAGCAATCGTTGGTAAATTGAATTTGTTGAAAACTTATTTTATGATGATTGAGTCTTTGCACCTGTATTAATTTATGTTACTATAGTTCTTAACTTAGATAGATTGATATATTCATAAATTAATCATAATTTCATTATCAATATACTTTTTTACCCATGTTAGAGTGGTTTCAATCAAGAAACATTTTGCAGCCATATCTAATATAATGCCCATTTTTTATTTATGAAGTATAGTAAAACCCTGATGATAACACATTCAAGTATAAACAGCACAACTTGTCCATGCTTCCTGTGCTTATTCTTTGAATCTTAGTTAAATACCCTCATTTATATACCTTAAGACCTTGAGAAATTGCTGGAATAATACTCCATGATATAACAAACCTCTATATCATGCCACAATTAGACTGGAAATCTGTGACAGTGTGACAATGTTTTAATGTATGTACAATGTATACTGGGATATTGTTGGCAGTATAACAAGGTTTTACTGTATATATACTGGACTATTGTTGGCAGTATAACAAGGTTTTACTGTATATATACTGGACTATTGTTGGCAGTATAACAAGGTTTTACTGTATATATACTGAACTATTGTTGGCAGTATAACAAGGTTTTACTGTATATATACGGAACTGTTATTTGCGGTCTGACAAGATTCTATTTTGATCTCTTGAAATTAATTGATATCTTGATCATCAGATTATCTATGTTATACCATGTTTACAAAAAAGTATAATGAAATTGATAACTGCTGTCTGTCCTTGTGATTAATATTTGATAAAAAACAAGACAAACTATCTTTTAGAAGTGTTCATTTATTTGAAAATATAATATAGTCTTTTGTATATATCTTATTATGATAAACATGACGTCATTCATGATACTGTAAATCACTCACATATAGTGCAGGATTTAAATTGGCACTGTAAATCACTCACATATAGTGCAGGATTTAAATTGGCTTTAATATGCAAAGAGAGTTAATTGCATATTCAAATCCCTCTTGAAAATACAGGTTACAACTGTGGGTGGTATCCATGGTGATTCAACTGTAAATTCCATTTTCAGGTAAAGTCACATGATTGTACTCAACAAAATGATGAATAATATGAAACCATCTGTTAATGCAGAGTCTATGTCTCGGCTCATTACCGGCAGGTGAAGTCATTTCTAGATAAGTGTAAAGAGGTACATTCATGAAATGTCACCAATATCTTAATGGTTTATCTCTTTTCTTTCATGTCAAAATTTAGTTATTGTTTACTATCAGTACAAACAATATTTTTGATGCCTTACATTTATACAATTGAATGAGAAAATCTCAATGTTGAATTCATGAATACTTACAGAACACTTTAAATATGAGGAAATCTGTTACTACTTATGTTATACATGTTTATGTGTGTGTATATATATATATGTGGTGTTTAAGGATCATGTTTGGACTGATATCTTTGTAACTATACAGTGTTGAGAGACTCCTGAAAACTAGTTACATAGTGACACATTTTCATATCCAATATTTTTGTGAAAAAAATGTTTTTGTTTAAATGACAGGTATTACTAAAGCTAATTACCCCCACCATTGTTTGATCGTTGTTTGTTCATAAGAATTTAAATATTCCCTTCTTTTCTTTTCTTTCCCATTTTTGTTTATAAGTGTGTGGAATTGTAAAAAAAAATGTAAATAGTGTTAATAATCTTGAACTTCCAAGCCTAAGATGGTTGCCTGTCAGCTTCTTTTGTTTTTCTAGTCAGTCACAAAAGCAAACGGTCACAACTAGGGACAAAAAGGAACCTACAAATGCTATTTGTGACAGGTCCATTAAATAGGTCTCAATAAAAAGGGATAATAAACTTTCAGTACAAAGATCAAAGATGGTTGCCTGTTGGCTATTTTGTTTTTAATCAGTCCCAAAATAAAAAGGACACAATATGGCATCAAGGGAAATCTACATCTGGAATTTGAGAAAGATCCATTTAGTACTTCTTAAGAGATATGGATAACAAAGATTGTTTACAGATGGACCACCAAGCACAGATTCGAGGCGATTTGAATAACCCACTATCTAAGAATGTGTCTTCATTGGTTTTTGTGCATCATTTTGGTGGGTTTTTTTTTAACTTTTGCGAGATTTGCTAGAACTCCTTTACATTACTATTTGTTGATGCGTCACTTTTTAATATTTATTTGTTTTTCAAGATGGCAGTCAGTAGCTATTTTTTATTTTTACATGAATTCTCTAATTGTTTTTTTCTCAATTACTACCGAAGGGATCTTGAACAAGTACAGTATGGGTCTTACGTGTAGTTTAGTATTCTAAGTTTTGAATTCGATAAAATATTAAAGATGACTGCAAGTACAGCTGAAAATTATAACTAATGTTTCTCAATGATTTCCAAACTACATAAGTCAGTTTACAGTACACAATACACTATTGTTATTTCATAGTTAACTTGATGATATCTTCCCCGACAGGCACAATGCATAAATTATGTAGAGAAAAGGGAATTAGAAAAGTCGTTTGACTACTATACGTTCAAATTAAAGGGGAAATAAAATTATCACAAATGAAGTGTACAGACCGAAAAGAATAGATAAGCTGGCTAGGTTGATTGTTTTATTGATGATTAACTCAGTTGTATAGATACTAAAAGTAGATTAAAAATACAATTCCATACTACTGCTCTTTTGAAGTCACATTTTGTTGTTTATAGACATAAACTTGAAGCCGTTTATACTTCAACTCCAAATTATTTTATGATAAGGTAATGACGATATTTGAAAATATGACCGATATGGTAATGTTTTGTAAGACCAGAGTGCAAATGGAAAATCGGAGGCTATGTTTGCAGTAGTGGGTACCTAATTGTTAGTGTACTTTGTACCAATCGAATGTCAGGTGGTAGCAAGTAATCTAGAGCATTACTCGTGTACGTAAATAAATATAAACAAAGTCGGCATAACAGACCAGTCCACTGCTTCTTGGTCGATCGATGCAAGTAACGTCACAAATGATAACCAGATTGATATCTAAACTTTGAGGCATACCAACGAGCACAGAAATATATATTTGTCCTAGTGAGATATCGATGGCAACCATAAAACTTTCTCATTGTGTTCCTCGTCAACAAGAATCTCACAAAAAGTTGAGAAAGGTGGTTGCTACTGTCTAGAAACGCAAAATTCACAAGAAAATCGGAACCCGTCTATGTTGATTGCCTTGTATGTAAAGCGGCTGATAGATGATATTGAAATGCATTAATCGTGTTATTGAAAATATATGCTCCTCGCGGGGAAATTCTTTGTTCGTTTTCATTCGTTGCGTCACATCCCGTTGAATACGATATTTTTTAGAACCTCTCTTCAGATCTGATTAGTATTGATCCCTTATTGCTATAACATCAAATTATTGACCTGATCAGAGTCTGATTTGTTTAAGAAGCATATGTACTTGTGTTTTATAGGCATTTTCAAGTTCGTGTCGTGTCAATGCCAAAAATCTAGAGACAGCCCCAGTGTCTGTGTAGAGCAAAAATATTTGGTTCATATACCAATCGTAAGAGGTAAAAAAAAATGAGTTGACATCGGAATTTTAAAACCCCGCCCTCTCTCCCTAACACAGCGACTAGCTAGCGTACATCCCGACACCCCCGGGACTTACCACTCACAAGTCACACACCTTTCCCTGTCCCTACCACAAACACACCTGAGTAAGTCCACTTCTTGGCCTCATTATGGCAGACATTAATTACCAATAATCAAGGACACCTTCGGGTGGAAAACAGGCCCAAAATAAGAAACAACCAGTCACTTCAGTGTAATTATCATTATCATCTCCGCCCGACTAGGTAAATGTTTTTTAAACTCCGACAGATTTTAGCATACATGTCAATTCCATACAATAAAATTAGACAATTGAAATTTTATTCATCTGTGCTCAGTAACTGACACTGGTCCCTGTCAATGCATTGTCTCTATCACCTGTATTTAACTTCAGTACCTTTTCCTCCTCACAGAGCATTCTTCAAATGTACATTTTATACAGACTAAAACTTCATAATTCCTCGCTCACACTTTGAACCTTAGGACACCGCAGATAATTAAGGTATGCACAATCCTTACACTTTCAAAACTATTTCTGATTAGATATTTAATTCACGATTAAATTTGTTTTCTACAATTATTAAATTCTTTATTATTCCCAAATGAAAAGGAAAATGCAAATCATTGCCAAACTGAGAGAATATAAGAATTGAACTGTTTGCACAATAGATACTGAAAGAGAGAATGCATGGTCAGTGTCTTAAGTAGCATCTATATTTTGACGAGGGTGAAGAAAAACGAAAGTGGAGATCTTTTTAAGACACTGACCACGTATTCTATTTATCCTGCAACATTTATTGAAATTTTAGACAACCGAAATTTCTACATTCTTTTCAGTGTTTATTTACTGTACGTTGACGTTACGCTGAAATGTGCCTGCCGACGTCAAAAAAATTACTCCTCGCGGGAAGACAGTTCCACGCTTCAATGGACCTAAGAACAATTTCATAAATTTTCATAGATGAACTTGTTTGTTACAACAACACATGAAATCGCTTATTTAAACAGTTATTGATATTTTGAAATGAAATGTCGAACTAAATAAGAAACTATTTCTGTAGAGTTGATATACGTGGCAGGTGTATTCCGACAATGGCAGAATGGTTTCAGGATAAATATATAGTAATCTTGATAATTCAAATATTTTCATAGGTAGCACTATTGAGTTCCCAGTTTGTATTTTTAAATACTATTTTTTACCTGGTCATCAAATTGATTGTCTTCGCCATTCCAGGTGAACATCAGACCACAGTGGAAAATATACATTAGTGGTGCCATAACAAAATCAAAACTATTCATATCAAGCATCTGATAATGGAGATGACTCGAACAACAAAGTATCAATCCAAATTCATCTACAGCTAAACAAAGTTTTGATAAAACGAGTATTCTTTGTGTATTTTTTTACACGTTCCAAGATAAAATTTCTCACGAAAAGATAATTTTCTATTAACGAAAAATAACGAGAAATTCTCGCAAAACCCCGGAATGATTTAGTATCGATAATTATTACAGCTGTAGAGCAGCTTCCTGTCAAGAGTGAATATTTGTGAATATGTAAAACAATTGGTTTTATCTGTAAACAAATCAACACCTCAAACAATGTGTCCCGTGAGCCAATCATTAATACTGAGGCAATACGTCCTCTCTGGTGCGCTTGACATGTGCTGACCAGATGTCGTCTATTTTTTTCATTTATCTAACTTTAATCAATTTCTCCACGGTGTCTGTCAACAAGTTATTTTTTTTCTTTGTGTTTGTTAATATTCCTCGTCTTTCTTCACTATGTATCTTAAGGGGAGATTACTCCAACATATCGAATATCGTTTGTGACGTGAAAGTCTACAAAGTTACTGAGCCTCTGATTCTCGTGGATTTCGACAATTTTAATTATTGTGTGTGAAACATTAAGACTGGTGGAAACCATCTCAACATATACAGCATTATATTTATTTCAAACATAACTTTCCATGTTCGTTTCAATCCGTATGCTTATACCTTCAAATCAACTGAGTTACAACATTCCAGATTAGATTCCAGAAAACAGAATCCCCACGTCAACATGAAACTACCTGGGAATGTACGCTAAATCAGGTGCGGATCCAAGATTGGGCGCACATTTTTGTTAAATGATTTTTTCTTCTTCTTTATTTTTCAATCTTTTTCTAATACAAATAATTATGTTATTCGTATGTGATTTGAAGTGCCGTATAACATTATACCTCTACAGTGAGGTGTGATGATAGAATTTCGGTTTGTTATTTTTGCAAATAATGGTCACTTGGCAATTTTTTTTTCTTTGTCTCGTTTTAAAGTGACGTAGAGGAGACCATGATTGAACTGAGCATTGCCACCGATGCAACACTTTGGATATTATTTGTTCATTTCCTTTCTGTCTATTATATGTATGTGCTCCTGTTTCTTCCTCTGGTGAATCCGTATCATTCATACCAACATGGACGCAGTATAGAATGTTATGTCCGTTTTCATTAAAGGTGATATAGTCAAATAAAAAGATAAAAACAGTCAACAATCGATTCACAATCATCGTATGAAACGAAATATTAATGATAATGTCTCTGTTTATCTCACAATATTATTTCGATTCACTGGAAATATTTATTTCAATTGAAAAAATTAATCCCGTGTTGAATGAATAATAGATAATTGTAAATTTCAGATAGACGTACTCGCAATTAAGGAGACAAACCAATAGTGCTGGTGCCTCTCTATATCTCGTTCTTATCTATCTAAAATATTTTTTCATGAAACAAGTTTTTTTATCTCACCTACGGGGCTGTGATATTGAATAAATTACACGATTCTGGTGTTACTAAGGATAGTCTGGTCTTATCTAACGTAAATTCAAACTCTTTAACGCATAACTGGTTTGGGATCAAAGTCGGATTCATCCCTGTCCCACGGGCAGTGGTACACAGTTGTAGTGGGACATTGTAACAGCTAGTCATAGTCCCAGGGGTGGGGCTATTTGTCCATACTGATGATCTTTAGTAGACGTCAATGGAATCGATAATCTGGTAGATGATGACGATGATAGGTGATACGCCATTGAAAAGGACAATGGAGATACGAATCCCGGGGGTGGGGCCGTTTGTCCGTATAATTACCGTACTGTACGTGGATTATAAGGTCACGGGCAGTATTGCACGATCTGGTCAGTAGGATTACAGGACAATATGAACAGCTATATAAAGGATCCTGTAACACTGAGTGGTCGGTCTTACTTTCAACCTCCGACCACACAGGTACTTGCCACTACTTAGCATGCAATCTTAACTCACTCTCAGTATGATAAATAATTTATGAGAACCTGAAGATCGAGCACTGTAATCGCAACGTAATATACTTGTACATAGATATGTAGACACTGGTAAACTATGGCACTGATGTTTGACATTTGTTTTATTTACAGAAACTGACAGAATGGATCTTTTGGAAAACAGTTTTTGGGTATGTAGATGTTTGGTCAAACTCTGATATTAGTTTTAAGAAGTTAAAGAAAATAAGCTATTCAGTATTGGTTAACATTTCTGGTTGTTGTAAAATAATTTACCCATATTTATACGTGTGGTGTGAAAAATACATCGTAAAAATACTTTAATTTTACTACAGTTCAGACCAATGACCGTTTTGAAATTCAGTGATGACGAAGAGCTGACGGACTTGTCTGAAATGCTCATCCCTCGGACTAAGGACGCTCCTCTACTCCGGGCAAAATCTGTACCTCCCCCAAACCTGGATGATGAAGATTCGGGACTTGGGATGGAATACGTAAGTACTTTGGTCGTCATTCTCAGATTGTATACAAAACCTTACCTTTGTTTTAGTTGTGAGTTATAAGACTGTTGGTACACTAAACCCTAATTGTCCTGTACCGCATGTGGCGGATCTTCCGTATGATGTTCAGTGAATAGTCATCTTCAACGGATTAACCCGGGAAAAATGTCTGGTTTGATATTATGTAGCTATTTAGTAACTATGATTAAAAAGAAGAATAAATAGATTAATAAATAACACATAAGTGGTGATCATGATATATTTTGTTTTCATTTTAGGATGAATTTTTGGCGAAAAAGGTGTTAACGGTACAGAACGAGACTCCGTGTCGATCACAGACTCCAAACACAAAACAGGTAAGATAATCTTATATCTAATACCGTGTCGGTGTTAACAAGTTCATATTTTTCAAAGTTGCCTTTACAAGATATAAGGTACCAAAATTTTCAAAGAGGTTTGGAATTACCAATGTCATATTTAATCATTTGTCATATGTTCGAGGATTTTTCACAAGTTTCCATTTCATATGACAAAGGAAACAAATCTGTTTTTCTTGTCAAGTACTTTTTCGAGGGAGCAGCTGCTAACAACCTCATTCAAGATATTCACATCTCGGACATGTTTTATTATGTTGCTCCGTAGAAATTAAAAATTTTGAATAAACATGAAAGGATTTATTTCTATTTTCCAGTCCTATAGTGTACGAAGGTCTCGGTTCGAGAAGTCTAAGCGTCTCCATCACTAAGAAACCAATACAATCACAGAGACAAACTACGTCATCGTCACGTGCTCTGACCAAATCATTGTCATTTGGGGTAAGCGGACTACAGGACTAAGTTACTTTTCATAAATTCGAATGAATTATGTAAGTGAAAATGTTTAAATAATATGATTTCACTTGAAATCTCACTTGCATGCATCGTAAAAAATAAAACAAATTACTACTTAGAAAAACTATTGATTACAACATCTAACACCGATTGTCCCTTCATTGAAGGATGAACCTTTCGAAAATTCATCTCGAGACGTCATTTCCGCTGTTGAGAGATTGGTCGAGGAAGAGAATCTGACAGGAAATGGGGAAACCACATACATTTTACCCACAATTCCTGGCAAACACTCTGACCTCAAAAGCATCACACCGAAGATTATGGGCCGACGTTTTGGAAGGGCGATATGATGACGTCATCAACAGCTATCGCATCATCGATTGTAGATACCCTTACGAGTATGAGGACGGTCACATCAAGGTATGTTAAGACATGCAAACAACTACATCTTAATAAAATCAATATCATATTCGTAAATTTGCAGACGTTTCATAAACAACTTTATACAATGAATTTATAAAATTCAAATTCGGATTAAAATTTAGGATTATCTTATCAATAGTAAGAAATGCAACGATCGAACTTTACCATCTGTCATGATGTGAAGTCATAAGTTATTTTGATATACTTGTTTTGAAATACATTTTAAAAAGTTTGAATAATCTTTGGCATTTGTAAGCAGTTTTAAGAACGGTATGCCTTATTCAACTTCCAGAATGCTGAAAACTTATTTACCCCTAACCACATTCTAGACATTTTGAGATCATGCACATACGAAGAAGGAGAAAGACATATCCTAATCTTTCACTGCGAATTTTCTTCAGAAAGGGGCCCGAGAATGTAAGTAAGCTCACGCTTTTAAACGTCAACTTACTGTTTTTCTTTTTTATTTATGTTTATTTTTCAAATAAAGTAGAAGTGCAAAGAATGGACGGAATTTTGTACCATATTGCTTCATACTTATAAACTGTCTGGGATCATCGTTCCATGAAGAACAGTCGAAACTGAAGATTTTTGTCACTAACAAATGTATTACAAAACTCGTGTTTATTTTGCTAAGGTCCCGATTCCTCCGAAGTCAAGACAGAGAAATGAACACCTGCCGATACCCTTTTTTGAATTTCCCGGAAGTGTATTTGTTGCATGATGGCTACAAACAATTCTATCAGTCACACAAAGTGAGTTGTTTTCATACAATTATTTACAGTCAGGTGCTTTTCTCTCCTCGGAATCGGTTTCGATTTTGCCACCAGAATAATGATCTTGTATCGCGACATCATTTGGGAAGAGAAAAGACTATGGCAAGGAACCGAAAGCGGTTGGCATCATGTTTTCTCTTCTTCGCTATTGCTTATATTTAGGTCGAATAAGAGAAACTATGGGCGGAAATTGAACTTTCGTCTTACACAACAGCGTAACCAAGAGATAGTTGATTCTCTGTATAACGTCACCATATGGCGCAATCTAAATCTCACGTGAAATTATCAGAATTTGTTTCCCCTCAACAGGAATTCTGTCAGCCAATTAGTTACAGACCTATGCTTCATGAAAACCATGCCGATGATTTACGTCACTTCCGGTCTAAGCCGAAGTCCTGGTGTGCAGATTCGAAAAAACGAAGATCACAGCTTTTAGCTTTTTAAGGACATCAAGGAACTGTATATAACATGTGTGGCGATGTTAAGGATGAGATACACGATTAAGAAAATAGTGCTATTTCATTAATAACCAAAGACTGATAAAGGAATGGAAGATATTACTTTAAAATGCTCATTAAATATCAATTTATTGATGCCTTGTTGAATTTCCGTTAAATTATAGCTATAAGATAAAGATCATTGTTGTGAATCAAATTTAGAAAATTATGAAAATAAACGTGCGCATTCTAAAAGTTTTGTTTTGTTTTTTGTTGTTTTTTTTTTCAATAGAATAATCATGATCAGAAAATGTAAATGCATATGTTTCTGCTGGCCCTAACCCCAACTGTGCACTTTTTCGAGTGACAGATGACTAATGTGGAGACAGAGGGCACAACTATCATCATTATGTGATGACATAACACAGTATATGCCTGACCGATCGATCACTGAGATAGATAAAATATCTAAGTGGATACCATGGTCTAGCTGAAGTTGTACAGGGCATCCGTAAACACTGGGTTACCGATACTGGTCCTAGAGACACAACGGGCCAGCGTCGCTCACCTGTTCTGCAGCATAATTGGAAAAATTGAAAAAGTGTACTCTGAGTGAAAATGGAAATGAACATAGTATTATTGCTTATGATCCAAAACAAAGAAAAAAAATGAAAACTGCATCAAAATAGGCCTTCCGAATACCGAGATATTGACTTGGAAAATGTGCTATTTGCACCTTTCCTTTTTAGGCTACACGTACTCAGTACGCATAGCGTATTGCGACGGCCTTTCAGACAAAATTTACCGATCCTGGCCTTCTCATTGGCTGAAATATCGAAAAGAGTTAGAGCCTTCTAGCGGCAATTTTCTGCGTAAATAATGCCGCGAGTTTTCAAATCGCTATTTTAAAAGCATCCAAAATAAGTTTATTTTTTTTTAAATAACAATACGATTACTATATATTTCAAAAAAAGAAGCACTGTGTGGTTGAACTATTGATAAATTTTGAACAATATATTTTACGAAATTCTCGACATGACGTAAGCGCACAGAACACTGTACGTGCGAGTTGGCGCCATGATAAGAAGCTAGTCTGGGGGCTTGGTTTGAATTATCAACTTACAGCACTTATAAACAAACAAAACTTACAAGCAGAACATCAATTTTGCTTTAATCCTTGTCGTTGTGGCAAAATCGTCTTAATATATAACATCACTTTACCTCATTAGACGTCACAAAATTGGACTGTTCATCCTACGCGCACACCCGCCGATATGACTTTTTCATGACTTTCACACCCACCGCCATGACACTTTTTCAAGCTTTTGAAGATAAAAAGTTTGCGCTTCGTAGGCAAGGTTCATTTGGTGCTCATGATTTATGAATGATATATTTTTAATACTGTACTGATCATGATGTTGACTTTGTTATAACTTATATTTTTTGTCTTTTAGTTTTATTTGATGAAGCTTGATTGTGCTGATTTCTCAAGGTTTGTTAATGTGTAACAAAGTTCCTTGAAATGAAAATATTCCTTCAAACAAAGCGCGTATAAAAAAAGCCCCAAAATATTCATGTTTACAATTATCAATTAACTAAAACGAAATATTTCCATAACATATTTATTCATTTAGCGTGTCGTGGTGACATTATCTAATGCTTTGGAGATCAGAAATAGTACTAGCTATATTGAAAATATTGTAAATTTTGTATATATATGGAAGTCTGGTTTAATCTCATAAAACTATGCCTTTATAGACATAATTACTGGAAGAAAAGTCTTACCATGATACTTCAAGGAAGATAGGCATGTAAATACATTTTATGTAATTACTTACACTTTTATCTATCTGAAATGCTGTGTATACCTTATCTACTTTCCTCAACTACAAATATAATTATAATAAGTAAGGACTATTACTTTGCAATACATTCAAAATAAAGAAGTAGGTATAAAGTCCTTTCGATTTGTTTAAATCCTCATATTGATAGGATAGTAATTGCAACATCTTGGGTATTTCAAAGGTTTTTATTTAGTCAACTTTATCATAGAGCTATTTATCATTTGGCTTGTTGGCGATAAATATATGGTTGTGTGTATTTTGTTATTCTTTTACCTATTTTGATGTATTCATTGTCGTCAAATTTGAAAGAAGAATTAAAGAAGATATAAAATCGCTTAAAGTTAAGACAAATAGCCTCTCAGGGTTCTCTTATTTTAGTAATTTTTGCATTCCAAAGTGTAGGAGTATGGTGAAAGTAATATAGCTTAGCGGTTATTTGTGAACATTTTTCAATACGTTTAGCCTCTCAGTACTTTCAGTACTTTTATTCCTACTTATCTTACCCTATCGACTGTGACGTCACAAGTACGACGACTGGAAGCCGCCATGGATGTAATCGAGATCGAGAACAGCTCTGTCATGCAACGTTAGGGTGCAAATGAATGTTTTATAGTTGAGAGGATATATATAATTCTGATGATAACATGTAATTTGCCAGAAGTGATCAATTCAAATATATTTATTGTCAACCTCAGAACAAGAGATCAGGCACCAGTTATCTAGTAATTACTATCGTGGAGGTATGCATACATTATATATCTACAATAATTATTACTTTTAAAATTTAAAATTTGTTACTAGACGTAATGAAGTACATGAAGATATTATAATAAAATTTACGGGAAGATGGGGTTTCCGAAAAACATTGTATCCAAACTGAACGCAACATTCAAAGTAGTGAAATCTTAGATCAAAATATTCCGTTAATTTGTATAAAGATGACTCTATAAAAAGTAGTGACAGACGTTTTCACAAAGATTACCACAAGTACACGTTATCAAAATTTACTAGTGAGTTCAATCGAAACCAAACAGACGACTCTAGGGTAACGAAGCCTGTAAGTAAACACTTTCTGTGTACTGATGAGGAATTGTTGTACGTATTTCGTACCTTCACTTCTGTATTCCACCGTTATATACCGTGGTACCACTTTGGTCCAAAAATACAGAAATGGCAAATTAACATCATTGTGTATTCCTTATGTTAGGTTGACATTTAAAACACCTTCTTGCATTTTCAGTACTTCTATATGAGACGCTAATTTCTACCACGGACTTAGATGAAGTAATTCCGTAATTAAAGTTTTCAATAAAATATGAATGAATCATGAAGTTCCATTTTTATTTCTCGGTATACATGCAATATACACCAATTATGATTCAGCATCGTGGTTTAATTTAATCATATCAGTCCACTCCCTTAGTCTACTTAGGTGTGAAACATGTGTACAGATAAATAACACTACACACACCTGTGTCACGTGCTGTCACGTCAAGAGGCCCAATATACACCTTTATACCCGGGTCAAGGTATGATATCAAAGTGATGTCAGTAGGTGGGTAAGGAGTAACCTGTAAGCTAGTTTGTAGATTAATGTAAGTTTTGCGTCTTCCTAACTTTCCATTTTACAACAATGTCCTCGGTCATGATAAATGTATTAGGACCAAGAAAAAACAACCAATGAATAAAATGCGGAAATCTGATCAGATGATTCATTACTTATCTTTGTGAGACTTGAACGAACAGCTCTCCCTCTGCAAAATTCCTTAATTTGGTTGGTTCATTAACATCCTAAAATTATTGGATTAAGTAAAGCAAAAATAGCAAGTCCTCGTCGATAAAAACACCATTTACTGTACATCTTTAAGGACAGAGAGAGATTTTTGTGGGACCACGAACAGCTTTGTTTTGTTTCACAGTTACCAAAAGCTTATCTGTAGAGCTTGTGACCTATTTTCTTGACCAGACAAAAGCGTATCTATTGTATCTGGTAAGGCTTGTGACCTAGTTTCTTGATAAGAAAACAGCGATCTATTGTATCAGATACAGTGTTGTATCTTCTGAATGGCAGTTAATGTCATCTGTTCAGAATGTCTACTGAAAGACGTACCTCAGGGCCTGCCAATCAACGCGACTGTACTCAATCTTAAAAACAACAATATTGAAAAGTTAGACAACAATTCAATCACATTTTAGTATTCAACCTCGAAAATCTAGTACTCGCCAAAAATGGTATGCACAGTATTTCACCTAGAGCATTTGCCACTGTTGAGAATCTTGGGTATCTAGATCTAGCTAAGAACTATCTCGTGCCTCCAGGCATTTGACTCTTCGGTTTTCAAGCATCTTTCTAGCTTTAGATCTCTTCATATGCATGGAAATAGTTTTTCATGTGGAAAAAGGTGTATCCTGAACATGCGATATTCAATGCTTAAATCGTTTTAGACTTTATGCATTGATATTTTCGACGGTTAGTGTTTTGAAATGAATTTCTTGGCGTAGCAATTCGCAACATGTCTTTCCAAGGATTCCAGAAAACCAAAATCTCACATTTAAAGTTATGCTTCCTGATGAAAATGGTGGAGGAAAATTCATATCACCATTTAGCAGTATCACTGGAACAAGGTTCTGGTGGAACCTTATCAATTCAATTCCGTTCGCTCTCTATGGTTTACGATGACGAAATATGGAATCAATTAAACCCTCGAAAAATCGCTATTCGAAATAGATTTTTGAAAAAACAGTACATGGTGTTCCTAAAAACTGTTTGTGTCAAGAATCTAGATTTAAATCATGAGGTTCTGTTTGCTCTCTATGGAATCAATTAATTTCTCAAAAAATCGCTATTCAATTGTTTGTGTCAAGAATCTAGATTTAAAAAGAAATCTTATTATAGGAATAATAATGGCCTGGACAAGTAGGAGTTGTCTGGAAGTTTTTGATAAATCAAACTCTGTTCTCAAGTCAATGCAACTGTTAACTCTTCTGATGTTGTCTCCATCTATACGATCTTACAACACTTACGAGGAAACGACGTGGTTTAATGCTTGGGGAAAGAACTTGGTTTTACCTAAAAACGTTTGCATCACATAAATATGTCCCGTGATCCTCTCGGGGAAGCCTCGATAGTACTGTATACTCGATTAATAATAATCAGAGGGTG